GCCGACCGTGGGACCGGTCACAAAAACGTTTTGTACTCCGAGTCCGTAATGGAGGAAAAAAGTGGAAGAGAAGGTAAAATAAAGAGCAAAAAAGGGGATGAGAACGAAAAAAGAGGGAGAGGGAGTGGAAGAGAGTTAAAAGTCAATAAAAAAAGAGAAAAGTGGTTTCCTGCTTTGGTGGCTTTCCAGAGATAAAATCCACGGACGGCGGAGGCGGGCCTCCGATGAACTCCTCCTTCCTCATGCGAGCCACACATGGCATCGGCGGGCCTCTGGTGAACTCTTTCTTCCTCGGGCGAGCCACGGACAACGGCGGCGGCCCTCCGATGAGCTCCCACTTATTCCAGCGAGCCACGGACGGCAGCTGCGGGTCTCTGAGGAACTCCTTCCTTCGGCGAGCTGCGGACCGCGGGGAACTTTCCTGCGAGCAGCGAGCACGCGGTAGGGCTGCCAGCAGTACCCTCCATTAGGGTCGGTGAGCATCCTCCCAGACCGATGATCCCTCTAGCGTGCTTCACCTCCGGCAGATCCAATGGCGAGCCATACCACTAGCAATTGTCCACTCCGGCGAAACTTGGCCCGGAAGAAGCGAGCTCCTCCTTCCTCCGGCGAGCCACGGACAGCAGCGGCGGCCCTCCGACGAGCTCCCACTCCTCCGGCGAGCTGCGGATGGCAGTGGCCGCGATTGCTCTAGTTCGTCCATCAAGCTCACACTGCTCCGGCGAGCCTCATCGACAGCAAGCGGGCCTTTGTCCTCCAACTTCCTTCGTCGAAAAACGGACGGAAGTGGCAAGACCCTCTCGAGTGGTCCTCTCTGCGGTCCTCTCCGGCGGTCCTTTCCGCAGTCCTCTCCGACGGTCCTCTCCGCGATCCTCTCCGACGGTCCTCTCCGTGGTCCTCTCCTTCAGTCCTCTACGCGGTCCTCTTTAGCAAGCCATGGACGGATTTGGCCTCTTGTGGACCGCTCCATCTTCATAGGTCCTTCACATGGACGGATTTGGCCTCCAGTGGACCGCTCCATCTTCATAGGTCCTTCACATGGACGGATTTGGCCTCAAGTGGACCGCTCCATCTTCATAGGTCCTTCACATGGACGGATTTGGCCTCCAGTGGACCGCTCCATCTTCATAGGTCCTTC